TTTGACCAAGTGAAAGAAATCAATCAATCAACCAGTTAATTAAATAATTCTATATTAATAATCCAGAGCCTTGCTTGAGAGTAGAGGCAGAAAGTTAATATAAAATTATTTTTTCACAAATAATATTTGTAATAAACAGTTTTATAATTTAAAACAAATTAATCCTTTTTTGTTTAATAAACACTTTTATGGTCAGAAATTAAACAGTAGGGTTTAACCTCCATTTGGTTATCAGAGTGGTTAAGCAAAGATATTTTTTTTTGGATATTTATTTTAGTAAGAAAGCAAAGGTTTAATTTTTTGGTTATTGTTAAGTGTAAATGTTTTTGTTTAATTTTTTGTAAATGGGTTTAATTGGTCACCTATACAAAGCCATTATCACATATTGATTTATTTTATTGTAAAGTAATTATTGCAAATATACAGCTGACTTAAAATGTAAAATAAACAAAATTTATTCTTACTAATTTTTTCCTATGCCATTTTAATATCATTATCATACTAAACCAAACAGTTCTCTGTTTGCTCGGGAAAAAAAGGTTTATTGTTGCACAATAACAGTAAAAGAGCACTTATCACGTGGAAAAAAGGATTTATTTTATTATTTTATTACCTGCAAATTTTTTTAGCTTTACAGGTAATTCAGCAAACACTTAGATAACAAGAAATGGAAATTTTTCATTTATTATTATGAACTTGAATCTAAGTCAATTTTCAATGTGCCAAAGAGAATCCATAATAGATTACTTGTCTTTGACAAGAAGACCACATACAATTATACCCTTGTTTTTATTCCATCATCAATCATTTTATCCAATGTGTTTTTCATCTCATTTTCTAGTTTATACCTATCATCTAGGAAGTCTTTTCTTTTGTATCATGGTGATTTTATTTCAGTCACTAGCAAGTATTCTGTCTTGTTTTTACATGTTGTATATATAGTTAAATCTGGTTTTTTACCCATAAGACAGGGATCAAATTTCGTTTTCTGTTGGTGGATGAATCGAGAACACCAGATGATCTAAATTTAGTTTATGAAAAAATTAACTATTGCAACATTAACAAGATAAAGTGAATATACAAAGAATACCTACCCGTTGTAATCAAAAACCATGTCAGTAAAAAACGGATGGACAACAGGTGCTAAAAATTTACCATCAAAACTATCTTCATTGATGTTGCTCAAATGCCACAAGGATTGTTGTTGAAGAGGATACGTATCACTTTACCGACAACATACAGTGTGCCATTTTAACATTAGTTGTTTGATTATGTGGAGGTTAAATGTAACCCCTTGAATTGTCGGTAAAATGAATGCCTCCTGTTGAAAGACTGGCATAAAAAAAATATAAATATAGGAAATAAACAAAAAAAATGAAATTTCATATCCATAATTCGACTTATACTGAACCAAAAATAAAATCATCATCTCCTTTTGCTATTTTCGAAGAAGTTTTTTGCAATATTTGTGCATACCAGTTGCTGTCTGTTTCAATAAATAATTTAAAATCAATTTTAGTTGAAGGAAACTCTTTTCACTGAAATAAAAAAATGTTACCCTTGACATTTCATGACATCGTAAGATATCATTGAGAGGAAGGTTCCATGGAACAAATTGTTGCTTGAATTCATCAAGTATATTTCTCCATCAAAGATTTAGAACTTTTTCATCATTGCCAAATGAGAAGATGTGATTCATGGCAGGGTTGGCAAATATATGGTCCATTGGTTCCATTAGTAGCCATATTTAATAATTTATTAATGGCAATGGACCAGTCTAAACTCCATCAGCTCTCAATGGACCAGTCAATTTGCCAACCCTAATTCATAGACCTATAATATGTCAATGATTGAACTAGTGTTGGTTTCCAAAACTAGAGAGTTTCGCAACCGTGCGAAAGTCAAAAGGTTTCGCATAAGTCGAAACTAGTTTTGATTTTTGACTGTTGACTTTTGGTTTAGTTTTGACATATAACTTTTAATTTTAGTTTTGACTTTCGTCGCTTCAAAATAGTTTTGGCGACCAACACTAGATTGAACTTAATGCTACACTACAAAATTTGGGAAGTGCAAAGTCGATTAATTAATACTCGTAGAATTTCAGTTATGTTTTCCATTCTATTATTACATGCCTTTATAATGGTATGATCACAATAATCCATTAGATACTTATTTCGTTCATGATCCACTAAATAATACAAAGATCAAACATTATCATTATGTTTTTTTTTTTTGAGGGTGAGGATTAACTTAATCCATAAATTGAAATGCACCTCATGTTTTACACCTGTAACAAATTCCGATTTTTCATCACCTAGTCCAACAAACCGGTCCAACCAGTAGCCACATTTATCATTCTAACCTGAATCAGTGCTTTCAGATGTTACTGAATTGAATTGGTATGAACTATTACTGTAATTATCATCTTCGGGATGATTCATTCTCTCTATATTAAAAGTCGGTATTAATCTAGCTGCCAAAAATGTAAACTAATTGACTTAAAATAATATTTCTAGAAAAACTACTTGTTTGGTCTTATGGTGATAAATAAAGTGATAATCACCATTCTTATGATTCATTTAATTTTCCTTTGATGTTTTTTTTGCTTATTTTTCTTTTTGTTTTAGTTTTATCCATCTTTTTTAAAGAAAAGAAAATTTTTATCTTTTATTTGATCGAACATGTATATTATTAATGTTATTAATACTGTAATTTATACATATGGATTGTACAAAGAAGTGTTTTTTTGTTGACGCGATTGTTTTGTTTTTTTTTTGGTAAAATAATAAGATGAAGAAACGTAAATGTTGTTTGTCATGATATGATACGGTTCTCCTAAAGAAGACAAGGTATTGGGAATCAAAATGTGGATGGTGCAGGATTCTAGTGTCTCTTTAGGTAATTATTATAGAGAATTTTCATCAAGATAATAATTAAATGGTTGGTATCGATTTTGCTTTTCGTAATCATAATTATTAATATTAATTATTAAAATATATAATCACATGATGTCAAGGTAATAAAATGCAAAAAGTCGATCAAATCCACTACAGTAACAAATTTTTTGATTTTTTTTTTTACAGATGAATATATTAATTCCAGCTGTTTCATAAAAGAAAATCTTTTCAATAATGGTGGGTGATTATTGATGTAACTCGTTATTCTAGTTTAAACTATTAATATTAATATTAATATTAACGTAGAGATTGTGAATCAATTGAAAATTTATATTGTTATAGTTCATTGATGATTTAAAGAATAAAGAAAAAAAGGTCTGTGCATTAGTTGGAAGTGCAAATAACATCAATAATAAATTGATATTATGCTATGAACGCGAAAGGAAATGAAGAAATATCCAAATTTCTTCTTGAATGTAAAATATAGGTGGATTACATTTAATAAATTTAATAATAGAATATAGGCGGGTTTATAAACAAAGGGTATGTGAAATAGAAAAATCGATATTGTAGTAAAAAAGACTATACAATCCTAGGACAGATCAATTGATGTGTTAACACAGCCAGTACATATTAATTCGTAATCCAGTAAATTTTAATAATAATACAGAAAAGTGACTTTCAATTATATAACATGTCCTAATCCGATGTTAATAGTGAGTTTCATTCGACATTGGAATAATTCAACATTAGCAAAAAAAGATATAATGAAAACATATGTTTTCCGTGTGGGATTTTTTAATACCCTGGAAGCCTTTTATTTATAATTAAGTAAAGAAATCTAAAAGTCTTTATTTTTAGGTAAATAATATACATAATAAAAAAATAATTAATCTAAAGCTATTTTTTAAAAAAATCATTAATTATTAATGAAAAAAAAAAACAATATATACAAATAATAAATTATTATTAAAAAAAATAACGTCCTATGTGAGTGATGATACAACAAAAAATTAATTACTTGTTTACAATATCTGACATGCTCAAACAAGGTATTGTTGGGTCAGCACAAAAGTCACCAAAAATTTTCACCCATAATGGCCTTGAATTACTAAGTAGAACCAGCGAAAGTAGCATAAATGCTACAAACGCACCAGAAATACAAAAGTAAAAACGAACTAGGAGCTGGATATTTTTGTCACGTATTCTCATAATATTGAATACTAGTGAGACTAAATTATTAACCGTCCACAGCCCACAAAGTACGCTTAGAAAGCGGCTTCTACATCCATACCCGATTGGGTTTGTGAAATAGGCTAAAATCACAGCTAGCCATGGAGCTATAATCGAGAATAAACCAGTTTCAATAATGTTATATCTTCTATCCATTGGAGAATCTTTTACTATTATTTTCCCAACGATCTTTTTATTTGGGTTGTGAACCACCACTATCCCTCCCACCACTTTCTTAAAAATGGCAGGCAAAATCCAAGCCAATGTTAGTGGTATATATGGCCATTCCTCTTTGATACATGGTCCGATTGCCCTGCTTATCCCCGCAAATATCCCTACTACTATGTAGTAAATGGATACCATGTAACTAAGGCGATCTAATATTGATGCCTCAGCTACACATCCTTTCATAAGTTCTTTCTGTCCTGGGGTGAGCTCCATTATTTTAGTATTCCATCCAAAAAGCTTATAGTTGAGTATTACACTACTTGCTTCTGGATTAATACTTTCTAATGCAATAGTAATATCATCACCATTCTTATTATTATCTTCCGACCTATTATTATCTCGCGTTGCATCATCATTATTATTGCTATCATTTTTTTCTTCCAACCTAATATTATTTTCTTTCACATCGTTATCATTATTATTATCATTGTTTTCTATTATTCCACTATTTTCAAAATCAACTGATTTAAAGTGATCATATTCGAGCCAGTATGTGCTCATAATTATTGCATCGTTTTTTACATTACAGTAATAAACGAGTCCTTCTATAGGTGCCCCTAGGCACAGAAATATCCATCGGAGCTTCTCCCTAAAACCACCCACTGGTGTGGCCCCTAATATAGCTATAGCAGATAAGGAGCCCAAGACATACTGGGGTATAGAGACTAACAATGCATGTACGAATTTTACTATTTCTACAGTAAGGTCTTCTGCTGCTGGCATTTCTATACAAAAAAAACAAAAAATTAGCCTTCAAATATCAAAATTATTTTATAAATGTAAGTTGGATTGCATACTTTAAAAGTTTTTATTTCAATTATAGGAAATTTTACGATACGATATTATAACAAATGGAAATAAAATTCTTAGCATCCAAACAAATAAAAGTCAAAACGATATAATTCTACTTGGATGAATCTTTTGCGTGTATTTATGCTTATTTCCATTGTACAAAAATTTTAAACTCAAAAATGGTTACATAATATAGAGAATTCCATTATTCGTAATAAAGCAGTCAATTTGAGTTATTCGAATTGCATAGTTTGGAAGTTTCATTAAATTCTTTGAAATAAATTCGTTACACTGATATCAATTATTTATATTTCCATTTGTATAAATTTTTTAAAAGACTATTTCGAATCAAGCGATCAATTTTAATGTTAGAATTATCAAACTAATCAAATTATCAAACAAGTAATTCAAATATCTCTACCCAAACAATCTTACTAAAAAAGGAGTTCGATTCTTACTTTCTGTTCCTATTTGAAATAAAGTTTATTCAAATTTATATTTAGAATAGAATAGAATAATCCGAATAAGGAATATGAATTGTACTCATCGGAATTTGATTTATAATTAACAAAAAAAAGCCATTGTTTTCTTCTATAACCAGATAAAAACAATTATTTGTTTGTTTATTAGTGTAAATAAAAAATCTAATGACTTTATATGAAACAACATGTGGACGAGCACAAAAAGTTTAAATTCGTAGATCAGGGGATATATTTGGGCATCTCACAAAATTAATTATTTCTAAATCTTGTCAAGTTATTTACAGATTTGAATCATATGACAGCAACTTCTTGCTCGGTTCATTCTAAAAAAGAATTTTGAATTTTTCTTTTGTTTTCATGTTTTTGTATAAAAGTTTGAAATTTTTTATTTTGTGTAGCTTAGAAGCCACTAAGTCACTTGGTCGCTGAACTTTTTCCTCCATCGCATGACCTTTTTCTCATTTTGCTGATTTTGGGAATTAAGTTTAAAAGCTGCACAAGACAAATTGGAAGTATTAGAATTTTTCTTATCAATAACAATTTTTTTTAATAGCTGCGTAACAATCATTAAAAATATAATTTTTTTATGGTCGAATAACAATTCTTTAATCAACAAAATTGCGTATATTGTATTATATGTTTTAACAGAGGATTTGCAGTGAGCCTTTTCATACATTAATGAGATTGTTTGTGAAAGCAAAAAAACTGTTTCATCATGCTAATTCAAATTTCAGTGAAGCACTAATTAGTAAAAACTAATTTATTTGTTAATATATGCAATTTATTATTCTTGCACGAAAACTAATTTTTATTACTGATTTTTTTATTGGACAAATTGGCACTTTGTTTTTGTCCTTCTGCTATGAATCATTTATATCCACTTTTTTTTTATTATTTTCATTAATTATATACATCCATCAAGAAAGGCAAAGAACATTATTGAAGTTCTCCATCCTTCAGCTATCTAATTCTCAAATGGGACCTTTAATATTAAATTTATTAAATTCGTGAACATTAATAAAAAACAAATAAACCAGTTTTTTGCTCAACAAATAATAATAATTTATATGGGCGAAGCTTTTAATTTTTGACATGAGTATTGTAGTTTTTTTTTTTTTTGAGCAAATATATTTTTGTCATTCCAAGTAATGCAGATAGACCAATCTCAACCAAGTGTCTATGCCACCGAATTCTGCACTAAAATTCCAGATGTAAGAGAGAAATTTTTTCCTAGCCGGCTAACATCAATACTCATGGAGTGGTTCCTGGGGAAATTGGAAGATAAAGATTAGTCAAAGGCTTCCTGCTCATATTGATATGGAACTTCTTGAATTTCAATGATTTATTATAAAAAATCAAAACTAATTTGAATATGAATTTTCAGAAATTGCTTACAGTTGACACGTGTTGACTTGATGAAAAAGTTAAGTACCTATTGGTTCTCATGGAGCGGTTACTGGAAGAAATTGGAAGACAAAGATAGATCAAAAACTTCCTGCTCATATTGATGTAAATTTCAACAATTTATTATAAAAAAATAAAAACAATTTGAATATGAACTTTCAGAAATTGGAAATATAGACTTTATTTTAATATGGATAAACATGGTCAACTGGAAATGAAAAATCCTTTTACATGTGGCCTTACAATTCCTGAAGATGGTACAAAATTGCCACCAACTGTTGTTTTTAATGGCAAACAATTTACCTCCTCAAATTATCATGGTAATGATGGATGGATGGACAAGATTGGAATAAAGCTTGGTTTGATAAGGTGTAGAATTACAAAAAAAGCACTTTTTATTATGTATAGCTTTAAAGTTCACAAGACAGATCCTATCAAAAAAATTGCACAAGATGAAAATGCTGATCTAGAAATCATTCAGGGGTCCTCAACTCTTTTACTTCAACAAATTATTTAAAGATAGATTTTGTGAAATGTGGAATACTTGGATGAGTTTGGGTAAATTCACCTGTACCAAAGTGGAAATTTGAGAAAGCCTGAAGATAGGCAATGTTACTTGTAAATGGATTCTTGAGGTTTGGAATGAAATTCCAAAAAAAATTATTATGAAATCATTTAAAGTGTTGCATTAGTAATCCAATTGACAGAAGATCATTTTTTTGGGAATGAGGAAAATGAAAATGAGGAAGATGAATGTTATTATAAAAAATCAAATATATGTAGAGCTTATATTTGTTACTTGTAGTGTTTATATTCAAGTGCTACAATATGGTTTATTTACTAATTTGTATACCTCAAGTTCTTCTAATAAACAAAATGAATTTATAAGGTTCAAATTATATTCATTATAATTAAAGCCTTTACTATAATAATAACGACAATAAGGTTCATTATTAATGCTGTGAAAAAGTTGCAAGTTGTTCATATCTATTGTTTTTTCCTTAAATTTTATTTTATTCTCTGTAAAATCAAATGGAAGATTACGATATATTGCACATTGAGAATTCCTGATTCTACTTAAAATGGAATTACTTGATTGTTTTTTGTCAATCTTAAAAATAAAACTTTTATCTGTTTCAATCCAATAATGCTCCATTTGAGATTTTCCCTTAACATTCCAAAAAACTGGATTATATCCACCAACCAAATCATCTGTTCCTTTAAGCTTCATAATGAATACAGTTTGTTTAATGCCAAAACATTTATTCTCAAAAGTTGATTGAGAGAATCCATCACGAGTACCACATAAAATTAATTCAAATTTATAAGGTATATCATTGTCCTCAATCCAGCTAGAAATTAAATTCTTCATCTGTGAATTTAATAATTTTCCTATTCCTGCTCTTGGACCTTTTTGAAGAATTAATGACCTTGGTTGCCATTTATCAAAAAAATAACATTGATGAAGTTCTTCATATACTTTTGGATCAAAGATTTCTTTACAAGGTTTAATTTTATAAAAAAAATCTTCTCTAGATATTTCTTGGAATCTTATTAATGGAATAACATCTTTTAAAATAGCTTTCAACTTGACAAAATGGTCTTTATTCAATTTTGAAATATTAATATCATTTATTTCTTCTTTATCATCAACACCAATTTGTCCTTTTCCCCATTGAATCATACATTCCCAAGCATTAATTTCATTAAGTACTAAAGTATCTCTCTCCAATATAGATATAAGAATAGGTTTTTCAATAGTTTTGAAATCATTTGATTTTAAAATTAATTCTGGATTGGTATCAATTAATTCCATAAAGTAATCTTGAAGTAAAGTAAATGATTGACATTTTGATGAAATTTTAAGAATATCTATTAAATTCTCTAGAATCCATTCTTTTTTTTCAATGATTAAATAATTTTGTAAATCATCAATTAATTCATTAAAGTCTAATTCATCACACGCTTCAAGAAGTTCAAAAATTTTGTCTCCACCCAGATTATCTATATTAAGAGTTCCATTGTAAATATAGCTATAAATCATAAAAACAAAATAAAATTATTAAATCATTGATTAATATTAATTAATCAATTAATAAAAATTAAAATAGTCTTACGTCAAAAGGACCTTGAATACATTTGGAGAAATGTTTTCTTTTTCAAATAAGATAATACCATCATCAGATTTTTTAATCCAATCTTTTGATAAAGCAGTTTTAAAATATGAGGATCTTGCTTTTAAAATACTACAATGAGCTTTAAAATTTTTAACATCCTCATCCACTCCAACTCTAATTTCTACATCATAAAAGTCAGATTCATTTAATAACTTTGTTAAGTCATTTAAAAGTTTACTGATGTATTTCAATGGTAGGGTGTCATTAAATAATAAGTTTAAATTTCCCAAAGATGAAAAACAAGTTGACATTTTGTTGCAAAATTTTATTTTTTGGCAATAAAAATGATAATAGCTCAAAGATAATAATAATGTTCCATCAATGTGAACATTGTGTCACATGGGGTTACAGGTTTCAAAATGTGATTAACTCTGCATAGACGGAATAACCGGGAAAACATGCATCTGAGTTCAACTGTTACTAGAGATTCTATTCGAATAAGCATTACGAATAAAAACCCATTTGACAGTTGACAGAAAATTATTTCTCTTCTACTTTTTGTTTTTTTTCTAGGATGCTGGTCTTCCTAGTTAAAAGGAAGACGAATTACCATCAACAACACCCGAGCTAGCATTTACAAATTGAAGCAGACTACCATTTGACATTTCAATGAAGAACAAATGAATATAAATTTAAGAGCACATATAAATTCATTATTTTTAAATTAACTATATTTTCTTTTTGTTGCATTTTCCTCCTTTCGCCACATTTCATCAATTTGAAAACATTTTGTCAGGTATCATTAATCAATTACATCATCAATGATGCATTTAACATCAATAATAATCAATTAGTCATCATTTATCATTTTAATAAATAACTAATCTTTCAATAATATAATATTGATAATAAACACTTTTCATAAAAATAGTCTTTTTATTTTTATATTTATAAAAATGTCATGTCAAAAAAGAAGAGTAGAAACAGATTGGGAAGAAGTTACTGGGTAAGTGTTTATTAAAAGAATGGTGGTGGTTATAGCCACTAGTTAATTGTTAAATAATTGTTAAAAAAAAATTAAAAACGTCTATAAACAGTAGTAATAAGGAATGAATGAAGATCAAAGGGGAAACATTGCAAAGTAAGTGTTATTATTTTTTAAAAAGGATGGTGGTTATCACCACTTGCCGTCACTCTAGTTTTAATAATGATTTGCAACAATATACTAGCAAATCAGAATCAGCATTCAGTAAATCTTTTGGAAAAGTTGAAAACACACAAATTCTTATTTCAAAACAAACCAACAAAGGCTCATTCTATCTTTCAGATACTCTTTCTGAAATGCTTGATATTTCTTCTGATACAAAATCCAAATCATTTACT